CCCCCCCCCCCCTAAAATGATCATTAATCGATTCAACCGCCCCTCTCGCCACTTCAGATCCACGCCACCAGCAGATCTAATCGCCCATTCAAGTAATTATCATTTGAAAGCCCCCAAATTCCCTCCACTACATACCCGGCCGCATGCGTATCCATACACGCCCTGCAGGAAACCGCTTAAAGACGGGCCTACTGCAGAAAGGAGTTGTGGAGGGAGATTCTCGCCACGGGTTGACCTATACATCATTCGATAGGGTTTTTCGCGAAGAATCTAACAGTATACAACGCAGCCACAAAAAGGCTAAAGGAAAGGGAAAAACATTGTTTTACGATTTGGGCCTGTCGAAGTTCGAAGTTTAGCGCCATATCAACGGAGAAATTTTGATCTATAGTAAGGTGTACCATAACAGTCTTGCAGGCAACTAAGAGCTGTCTATGACGGTAGAGTGCCTCAACACCATATCCTCAGATCCGTAGAAAAATTCCTCCAAAAATGGGAAAATGCCAAAAAAAACGACTCCGGTATTTTAACGTAAATTGATGTCATATTCTCTATGGAACCTGTAAAGAAGAGTCTTGAGTGCAGAGGCCGTAGATGCAATAATCTACAGCTTCCAAACCAAAAAAGACTAAGCAAAACCAACAATCATTTTCACATTGTACTAAGTAAAGTCGAGTACGTGGTGCAATCCAAAGCAAATTCTAAACAGATCACCTTCAGGGGCCAATGAGCCCTTACAAGTACTAAAGCGTGCATCCCATGTGCATGCAACCCCTTTTCGCATGGAGCTCAAGTGAACGGCGCAATCCAAAATGAAGCAGTTTCAATATTCTAGGATATCAACTTGTAGAGCTCGATGAGCTGAGATCAACGGTATTTTTCTCCTTGATTACTTCATTTTAAAGCGATTCATAAAGAAAAGACGAAGAATTTGCGGTATTCTCATGGATTTTCGAGTTCTCACGGCGAGTACTGTACCTTAACAAGAAGAAAATCAACGCAAAGGAGGAGATGCGTGAACTCCTGAGACCGATTGAATGATATCACTTCGTCACCTCAAAAAAAAANNAAAAAAAAAAGCGGTGTCCCATTTCTCTATCAAATACCCTGCCAATAGTTCGACCCCCTCTTCTCCAACATTTCTGGTTGGTTTGACAGGATCCTATGTGTTCTATGTAGTAGCTGATTACTGACTGATTGTTTGCAACTACGCACTGTAAAGTTAAGGTTTAAAGAAGGCATTATATGCCGAAAGCTAATCAACAAAGTGGAGTATT